CAGTCGTGTCATTGCTATTTGTTTTTGTTTAATTGTACTGTGATTGTATACATAGGTTAGGCTTATGGAGGTTAGGAAATGTGTGCATGGAGGGGCACCTGGGTGGCTCAGTTGGTTGAGTGTCTGACTCTTGACTTCACCTCAGGTCGCGATCTTGCAGGCCATGGGTTCAAGCCCTGCACTGGTCTCTGTGCTGATGGTGTGGTCCTGCTTGGAATTGTCTCTCTCTCCCTTTCTTTCTGTCCCTCACACACACTCTCTCTCAAGATAAATAAATAAACTAAAAAAAAAAAAAAAAAAAAAAAAAAAAAAAAAAAAAAGAGAGAGATGTGTGCATGGGGAAAGGGTTGATACAAGGGTAGCCTTAAGTCATTAGGAAGTGAAACCACAGCTTCTCCTAATACCTACAACCCCAGGGGTGTCCTTGATCATGAACGAGCCATCAGCTTTGTCAAATGGGACCTCTGTTACCATGTGAGGCTGTGGTGATAATTCTCTAGCTTGGTTTCCCAGCTGTAAATCAGGAACTGTTCTCACAATGAAATAATCTACCGACCCTGTTTGAAGTCCTTTGTGTTTTACAGGGGAGGCTGCTTATCAAATATAAGGGTTATGATAAGAAGAGACATTCTTTTACGTGCTCATAATTTTCCCCACAAGGGTCTTCCCTTTTAAGAATCCTATTTTCAGAAACACAATGAGGCCAGACTCAAAGGATACCATCAGGGAGAAATTTTATCGTGCTAAGCTCCTGATAGATATTTGGAGATACAGTTTGAGTGGATTTATCCATATTTGCCTGGTCTTTATTGGAAGGGCATTATCTTGAGAGTACCATTGTTTATTCATGGGACAGAGAAAAATCAACCCATTTACCTACAGTCATGAAGAAGGATGGAACAATAGCAGAGAGTGCCCTGAAAAGCAAGTCAGGAGTTCTCAAGCTCCCTCAACTGTTGACCACCTAGTGCCTTACTTCCTGTCTCAAGATTCCCTTGTGCCCTCCTCAAATATGAGAGATTTGGAGTCAATGATTAAAAAGATGCCTTCTAATTCATTGCTTACTTTTAAGATTCTTGGACCAGGTTTCTTGTTGCAAAATGAGACCAAGGATGTGATAAGACATAATATTTATGGGTTGTTTACATTTACTCAATTAGAGGAAGTTTTGCCTATTTCAAAGTGACTTTTATCACATGAAGGTGAACACTGAAAGATTTACAATGGAAAAGATTAATTTTATTATGAGAAATGCCTTTTAGTAATGCTCACTCAAATATATATATTTTTTAAATCTGCATCTAGCTGAAGGCTTGGATCTCTTTCAAGGGGACATCCTCCTAAGGGTGAGTACCTGTTAAGGACATAATGACGATCCTCAGTACTGGCTGTTTTTTATGACTGGGAGCCTCTGCTGTGTCCAGCCCTGGCATGGGCACTGTGGAGGACATGAAAGAATCTAATCTATCACCTGTACCCACAGGGGCTTCAACTGTGGTCGATGATGACAAAAACAGATGAAAAATAAGTAAACAGTACAAAGAGTCTATAATTACCATATTACATGTTCACTTATTTTTCCCAGTAAGTGAATGAGAGAAGGAAATGCACCAATATATGTACCTATTTTTGAGAGACAGAGACAGAACACAAGCAGGGGAGGGGCAGAGAGAGAGAAAGAGACACAGAATCCGAAGCAGGCTCAGGCTCTGAGCTGTCAGCACAGAGCCCAACACGGGGCTTGAACTCACAAGCCGTGAGATCATGACCTGAGCCAAAGTTGTATGCTTAACCGACTGAGCCACCCAGTTGCCCCAACTCACCAATATGCTTAAAGTGACTATCTCAACTTTTAGAAATTGTAGGTCTTTTAAATTTTGTCCTTAATAATTTCTCTGAAGTTTCCAAATTGTCTATAATGAACTTCAATCACTTTGGTCATCAGAAGACAAATGTGATTAAGTTGTTTGAAATTGTATGACAGGTTGTTTGTGGTGTGAAAATTTTCCTTTTTCCATCTTTGCCTTGTTTCCACAGAACTCCAGAAATGGCCTGAGAGACCCTAACACCAGATGGAAGTTCCCCATCCCTTACATTCTGGCTGACAATTTGGGTAATATTAATTGTTTTAATTGGACACTTTGGGTTTTACTCTTCTCCCTCCCCACTCCTCCTGTTCATCAGCTTCAGATTGGGAGTAACACCATTGCATATGAGGGGTTCCACGTCCTGATGGTACTTTATCCCTTGGAATGGAATGTATGACATTACACTGACACCAGGGCAGCTTAACTGGTTGGAGATACAAGAGGTAATTTTAAAAATTACAGAATATCAAATAACAATTTAAAAATGCATAACACATTACATGTTAATAAAACCAAGGGCACCATAAAGAACAAAAATACAATGAAATATAATTTGGCTTCACCACGGTGAAAAACTTACACTTTATTTTTTTTTTAATTAATTTACTTTTTTTATGTTCGTGTCAGTATTTTCTTTTTCTTTCTTTTTTTTGTTTAAATATGAAATTTATTGTCCAATTGGTTTCCATACAACACC